GTCATAGCTCAGCTAGCACAGAGACTCCTAACGTGTCGTAACCATAAGAGCAAGAAGAAGGTATGGCTACGGATACCAAGTCCATGGAGGGTGAAGAGGAGATCGAATATAAAGAAGAATAAGAAAATGATAATAAAGAGGAAGAGGAATCCGAAAAAGATACTGAAGTTTTACTTTGGATGAAGAAATTCCAGGTGAGACAAAACATGTGAGCACCGTTCAGTTGTAAGTGACAGCTACAAATAAAGCTAATGCTCCAACAAAACAAGTGGTGGATTAGTTATTGAATTTAAAAGACACCACAGCTAAAGAAGCAACCATTTTTATTGATGAACCAATATTGGATGCGGCGACAATAATTCGTAATGTTATTGCTACTATTGGAAAATCAGTTGTTGCGAGTCAGTCGGAGAGCACTCCCATAGTATAGGCCGTTGGAGCTACGAAACCCAACCTAGAAGCACAACAAAAGTAGAAGCCATAACATCCATAATTCCTATATATGGGGCTGTTTTAAGAAAGGCCTTAGCATCGTTGGCTAGTCAAAAGACGAAAAGCTCGATGAAGGAAAAGACAACAGCAAAGTGGCTCCACCCAAACTTTCTTAGCCCACTTAGAGGAATGTTGCTTCCCTTTCTCCTATTTTAGTTTGTTTTATTTTCTTTTATTTTGTTTATGTTACATGCATTAGGGCCAAAGCACCCTTAGGTTTTGGGGTGTGTTGTTAGGTTTAAGTGTTGCATTTAGGAATATAGTTTACATATAGAATTTCATTGGTAATGCTTTAGGATAATTTTGAAAGAAAAACTAATAAAGTAGTTTAGGGAATTTTGATGATGCCCGATGATGAATATTAATTGAAATGAAATGTTATAAGAAATGTTGTATAAACCCTTTGAATTAAGGATCATTGGAATATTTTTAATTCATTGGTGTATGTTTTCAATATTTAGAGAATTTACAAACTTTCAAATTATAAACCTATTATCTTTATTAGATGTTATAGCAATTATTTTGCAATTTAAAAAATGAGAGTCTTGGGAAATAAGTTGGGTAATGTTGGTAATAGCTCTAACACAACCTTAAGAAATAAGTTGGTTAATGTTGGTAATAACTCCAACATGGTGAGAGAAATAAGTTGGAATTCCAACATTGGTGAGGAAATATTGTTGTAGCATTGAATACCTTTAACGGGGTAGGTCCGAAATTTTTAACTTAGCTAAGTATTGATTTGATAAACCTATATTTCACACACTGCATACTGAGGATTCTGATTTTGAGGGGATGACATGGTATTTTCTTATTCGATATTACATATGCGCTTTACAACATTCTCTAAAGGCTGAAAAAGAAAATTTGCTACTTGGTTAATTTTTATTGGTTATTCTATGGCATTATTGTTAGTTTAGGTGTTTCTTGCATGTTTTGCTTGAGGATAAGCAAACACTTAAGTTTGGGGGTATGATAACTCTCCAAAAGAGTAATCCTTGGTAACCTTAATTGCCTAGATTTAGTTTGAACTTAAGAATATTTAGGAGCATTTTAGGATTAAATTTACTAAATTTTGCATACTTTGCATGATAGGAGCATTGTGGGTTGTTAAGGGTTAAAATTGATTTTTGTTGCTACAAAATATTGCACTGATGTTGTAGAACTGCAAGAAATGCTAAGCGGATATTGTAGTAAACTTCTAAGCTTCAGACGGTTAGAAGAACCTTTTAGATTGGGACAGATGGCTCGGGTAACTGTCATGTAGATGAATAATACATGAAACATAGACCTTTCCTATTGGGCAATAGAATTCTCATTTAAGCTATAAAAGATGAGTACTTTGATGCAAAAAGTGTGATGATTGGGAGAGATCCAAAGTACCATTTTCCACTTTATTTCTTCTCAAGCTATGGAAGCCTAAATCCTCTGCCAGGGATACTGCAGCTCAAAGGAAGCTTGCTGAGTGGCTTCAGCAGTCAATAGATTACGTTCAATGCCTTCTATTGAGAGAGGGAGTGATTTGAATGTTTAAACTTTTGTTGAATGTTTATTATGAACTTCGTATTTTGAGTTTACTTGGTATTTAGTTTATGAGCTTTGAACTTCAAGATTGTGAGTAGAAATATTTATAATTAAATATATAGTATTTTTATTTGAATCTAGAAATATTTTCATTCGAATTAGTATATACGTTTGTAGGCTTTGGTGTTGCTGAGTAGCATAGGTACACTGAAAAGTGTGCAACCATTAATTAGTATTGTTAATAGTTTGAATCTTTAATTATGAAAGTTATTAAAGTAGTTCAAACGATTTAAATCAATGTTGATCACATAAATTAAGTATATCATGCTTACATAAAACTTGGAAGTCATAATATCATATTCTTTGATTTAATAGCTAACCAATTACTTTCTATAATTCTATAGGATGAACTGGTACTTCTCATTATTGATTTCATTAATAGCATCTAATTCCCTCGATATATTTCGTTACTAAAAAATCTAATGACAACATTATGCTCTCTGTAGGTTCGAAAACCGAAACTCTCATAGTTTCCACTTTATTACGTGATTTACAATACGTGCACTTACGTTGTATGTTATAGAATCTTACGTAGCCTCACATACCGTTTAGCCTTACCCCCAGAGTTAGAGCACATTCACAATGTGTTTCACGTATCTATGCTCAAAGATCATGTTCCGATCCTTCCCATGTCATACCCGTAGAACATATCGAGGTAAGCCCAAACATGACCTGTGAGGAAAAACCAATCAGACTCTTAGCAAGAGATATAAAGGAGCTAAAGAATAAAAAGATCCTGCTAGTAAAGGTTTTATGGAGAAACCACGGTGTTAAGGAAGTAACTTTGGAAACCGAGGAGGATATACAGCTTTAGTATCCTAACCTCTTCTATCCAGATAAATTTTGAGGACGAAATTTGTAATTAGAATGGGAGAGTTGTGACGCCTTAAATCCTGGGTTAGTAGTTTTAGGTTAACCTGAGAAAGAGAATTTAAATAAACTCATCATCTTATAAGAAGCCTTGACCCAAGTTTGTGAAGAATTGGACTTGGATTGAACCCAATAAGATTTAAAAGGGGTATTTTTAACCTTAGAACAAAATATGAAGGACTAAAAGAGTGAATAACCCCTCATTTGAAACAAAGGCTAAAAATCTTTAGTTTTGGTGATGTAATCGGTAGGGGAAACACCAAAATAGATTATTTAACTTCCCCCCACTTTTTTCACACCTCTTGTCTTTTTTCCCTCTTTCTTTTTTATCTTCTTCCTCACCAAGACACATAAAATATTGGAACTTTGGGATCTTGTAAGCTTTGACTAAAAACCTTAAGGAAAGAACTTTAATCTCCTTCTTCCAAGATTTCTTCCAAGCCCTCGTTTGCTATTTTTGGCCATGATGTACATGGAGAAGGGTTTTAGTGGGGATTTAGAAACCCATGGTAAAATTTTCCATTTTTTATGATTTTAAACCTTAAGAAGAGTTTTTGATCTCTTTCCAAACTCCCAAACTTGTTAACAATCCTTGTAGTTCATCTTTGTTAGTGAACAGGTGAGAGAAAGCTCTAAGGTTAAATGAAAGGAGAAGTTGACCCTTAGTTGAACCTTAACCCTTCCAGAAGCTTAATAGTTTAGGTAACTCACTTCTAACTCAAATCTATCACATGTAGATTACTAGATGTGTTTTGGTAGGTTGCATGAGTTATGAAGCATGTAAGCAATTTCATGATAGATTTCAATATTTGGTGTTTTTCAACTTACTTATATACCTATTATTTTCCTTATATCATACATAAAACTTTAATGACGTTTAGGAACCTCAGTAGGGCTTTTGGGGTGAAATATGAAGTCATTTTCGTGCCCAAACAGAGCATTTATGGGTTTGAGTATCAGTACTAGAAAAACAATGGATATTGTTTGTCAAATGGTTCAAAATAAGGGAGTTTTAGGCTAGAAGTGTCGATACTCCTTCATTGGGTATTGATACTCTTCGGAGAAGTATCGATACCGGGTTCACTTAGCAAATTCTAGTAGCTAATTTTGGTATAGGTACTCATGGGATTATCAATACTTCCAGTAGGGTATCGATATTGATGCATTTTTCAAAAATCGAAGGAAATTTAGTATCGATACTTAGGACAGTATCGATACTCTAGTACATTACTATTGATACTCGATCCAAGGGTATCGATACTATTCTCACTTCTCAGTGTATGATAGTCATTTCAATATCGATACCAAAGGATGGGTATCGATACTCAGGGATCAGTACTGATATTGAAAGGCTCAGTATCAATACCAATGAATAGTTTTGGATAAATAATACAAATGGTAAGGGGTTAGACTTGAAGGGCCAATAACACCAGAACACCATGAAACAAAACTATATTTGTAGGATATATATATTATTAATAGAGACTATTAAAAAAACTTAACCCAGTTTGAATTAGATTTGAACCAATTTTACATATGGGTGACTTTGGTTTTAGATTATCAAGATTTAAATTTAAAATTTAGAGTCAAAATTATAACATACTTGAATAATTTTAATTTTAAATATTTTGATCTTCAAATTATGGCTAAACTAAGGAAATGATGGAAAAAATGGGGTATTCATATTTTTTTAGAAAAACATGACATATTTTTCAGTAATTTTTTAAGTCGTTCCTAAATATTGATGACTTTGAAAAAAATTATCATGTACTGCAATGGAAAAAAGAATGGGCCAAAGTCGTCGGGAACTTCCGACGCATTACGTACTTGGTTTGGTTCCAATTTTAAGTGACGATTTTGCATTATACGGATCAAAATGAAAGCAAAGGAAAAATTAGAGAGCCAGAATGAAAAATTATAAAAAATGGTAGTATTTCCTACAAGTTCAGTTGCTTATTAGCAAGGCAATAGCAAATACCCAAATTACCAACAATAAAAGCATACCAGTTGCAAATTTGAATGGGAATTGATAGAGCAAATTGGGGGGGGGGGGGGGATGACCGTTTTCAGCTAAAATCTGATATTTATACTTTATATCATACAGTATGATCTCATCTGCCTATGCAGCTATACCACGAGTTTACATCTTGATTCTTTACAATTTATACAAAACAATTGGCAGATAAGAAGCTCAAAATACAATCAAGCACAAAAGGAAACAACAGAAGAGGAAGATTGAGATTCTATTTAGTGACCTGTCTGCCTGCATCTCATGTCTTCTTAACCTGGGGGTGCTGCTACTTCCCGTCAACGGATGTGAGTTCGGATACGTGTATGTGCTTTCTGAGTTCCCGAAGACCCTTGCATATACCATCTCTCTGAACATCCCGACAAGAGGATGATGGAATGTGCCTCTGAGGTTAAGCATCGGTGAAGATGGATTATCTTCATAGTAAGCATGAGGGTTTTGGTTTTGGTTTTGATAAGGGTTGCGATAAGGAAAATGCTGGCCGTTCTGGGGTGTAGGTGATAAAAGGGATTGTGCGCCGCAAGCTTGCGGTCTAGGGGGTATCACCATACCCCTATAAAGTGCCTTGCCTCGAAACTCGGATTCAGATTGGCCACGGCCATAAAGGGGCACCATGGTGGTGTGGGATATATCAGCTTTGCAAACGGGACACTGTGGATGCTCGTCTGAATCAAGGGAAGCACTCTGGACATGAAGCCACTTATAGATGCAAGGCCAGCAGAAGAGGTGGCCGCAGAGTGTTACAATCGGCTCATGTGCGAAGTCTAAGCAGATATTGCAGTCAAAGTTACCATTCAAATTCTCGTTTCTTGAAGCACCGGAGATGGCACTCCATTCCTGAGCATAACATTGCTCTAAATCCATGGATCTGTTAAAAGAAAACTTGGATTGAACCACTGGGACACTTGATCTGTGAGACAAGAAAATTAAAGCAGGATCAACAATCAAGCAGCTAGACACAGATAAAGATCAAAGCAACAAGTCTAGAAAACAGGAAAAAATGTGAAAAATTATGGTGTAATAGTACAAAAGACTTGCAATCAGGTAGCAGCTATATATGAAGATGACATGTGAGGGGCCAAAATTATGAAAAGCATCAAACAGATAAGGCCCCAGCACATAGCTTGATTTACGTTTTCTAATCAGAAGGGGCCAAAAGTGTTATTACCCTTCAATCAAATGGATAAGAAGAAAAAGCACAGCAAGTTTTAGGGACCACAAATTACATTCATGCATTTAAAAAAAAACTAAAGGATGTAATAACTAGCTTGAGAAAGTGGTTTAGGAAAAGGAACTAGTGTTCGACATCTGCGGTCGACACATTTTTAAGCACGAGTATAGACACACACGTATATCCATCACTCACCCTCGAGTTCCGATAACAAAAGTATTTCCCACGGTTACTTTGGGGCTCTGATTATAGAAAGCTGATGGATTTCAGCCCCTAGATTTCTGATTTAGGGTTTCCCTATCGATTAGTTGTAACAACTCCGACTAGAAGCAAATTCAATTGCCATTTTGGACTCAACAATTTGAGAAGACACCCACGGTTCATATGAAGCACAAACAGCTAACTGCATCTTACTAAGTTCTAATTTGTTAGGCTAAAATTGGGTGAAACAGTAAACCTTTGAACCCATCAAATCATTAACTTTTTCGATTCTAAAAGGAAAGCAATAGGTTGAGTTCCAGGAACAAATTCAGGAACTACAACACCAAGTTTTTAATTTCCCCTATCCTTGCATTATCATTTTTAATCAAAATCACCAATATTAAACGAAGCTTCAGGAGCACTTAATCCATTGATTCTTGTTTCTGCGAGACTGGGTTGTCTAATTTATTCAATTTCTCAAATACAAAAACCAAGGGTAAAGCTCCAACTTGTTTGTCAAAAATAAATTCATGGCAATTTCAATATTTGTCTACAATGCAATTAAAAAAAAGCTTATCCGATCAAAAGAGGACAATCTTGATATCAATCAAAAATGAAAATCAATAAACAGATAAAAATAATAACCGAAAACGTACCTTAACGAAGTTAGGAAAATTCGATAAACTCTTCAGTTTGTGTTTACCACAAAGGAAAACACAAAAAAGAGGGCGAATTATAGAAGAAAGAATCCACTAAGCCCGCATTTCAATGGCTGTTTTCATATTCGAAAATGGAAAAAGAATTTAAAAAAAGGAGAAAGGGATCTGGCCATGGAATTAGAGAGCGCGTCCACCGAAGAGGCTCATTTAATAGCAGATTCCCTTTCCATTATGACGAACAGTGTAAAAAACCTGTTTAATTTTTTTTTAATAATATAGGGTAATTACATGGTAATATTTGTTTAAATATAACTCTAAAACTTTTGGCATTAATCACTCACATTCCTGGCAATAGTGCTCGAACCTAGATCCTCAAAGAATAACAATAATTTATTTATCACATAGTTACTTTCATTCGTGCAAAGCAGTTTAAATTTCATTCTATCTCCAAAGCTAAATTTTTTATAAACCAAATAATTGCTGATCAATCTTAATAGTAAGAATGATTTGTTTAATTAAAAGGTTATCATAGTTTAATTTTAAGTTGATCTAATAGTTAATAATAATATATTAGAAAATTTCAACTTTTAGTTTCTTTTTGTTTCCCAACCGTTTCTAGGGTTTCGTTCTAACTATTATGTTCTGACTAGCGTCACACACCTGACTTTTGTAACATCCCAAAATCAGGTCTAGTGATAAAAATAGAAGTTTTAAAATTTTGAGGTATGATTTCAAAAGATTGAAAAGTTTAGGGACTTATTTGAAAATATTTTGTGAAGGATTGTTAGTAATTAATAAATAAAGTAAAGGGTAAAATGATCATTTGACAATAAAGATTTTTATTTTTCTTTATAAGAGAATGAACCACGTGGAAAATGAGAGGAAGACAAAAAAAAAAAAACTCAGGAGGCTTGTTATCTTCTTCATCCCGTGGCTTCAATGGTAAGGTGAGTTGGATTCAACTTGATTGTTTCTTTAATTTTAAGGTTTGTTTTGATTCTTAGAGTGATAAGAAAGCTTAAGGGAAGTTTTAAATGGTTTAAAACTCAAAGATGAACAAGTTAGAAGAGATTAAAGAGAATAAGTTTTTAAAAGAAATCTTGGAAAAGAGTTAATAAGTAGAATTGAAAACTAAATTTGACTTGTCAATAGTTGAATTAAGAGATATGAAGTGATATAATTGGAATTAGAACATGTTGAAAATTTGGTATGATTCTTGATTTTCATTTGGAGGATGAGATTTTGAAGATAAAGAGGTATTAAATACATAGGAATTGGTTTGGGTATGCATATTTGAGTTAAGAATATTAAAGGGGTTAAGACATGAAGGATTTGATTTAGAATGAGTGAATTTTAGAGTTCTAAAAGTGAAATCTGGGCTTTGGGTATCGGTACTGCTTCAACATGTACCGATACTTCAAGTCTGGAATTAACAAAGGCTTTCAAATGGTATCGATACCTGGGAAGGTAGTATCGATACCATAGGTACCGATACCATAAGCAAGGTATCGATACCAGGAAATATCGAATGCAATTTGGGTATCGATACCCATACTTGGTATCGATACCATGAAATATCGAATGTAATTTGGGTATCGATACCCATACTTGGTATCGATACCATAGCTAGGGAAGTATCGGTACCATGCTTGAGGGTACCGATACTATTCAAAGAAGAAATTGCATTTAGTATTTCGATTAGCTTGAATTATTAAGGATCGAATTATGATAATTGGAATGTTGATATGTTTGTTATATGTATGATTGTGTGTAGATATCAATCATGAGCAAAGTCCAGACCAGTTGACAAGTATTAGGCATCGAGGAAAAGATAAGAGAATGATATTAACTAGTGAGGTCAGGTGAGTGTATATTAGATAACATATGATGTTTAATGGAAGTAAGACTTGCGACAAGTCTATTTCCTATAGTAGAATGTATGAATTCATTAATATGAGCATATGTTTAATATGATATATGTGTTGTAGGTCATATGATTTGTGTGAACATGCCTGGTATGTATTATATGTATGTGAATTATGTGAATATAAGAGAATAAAACATAAACTATATGAAAAGATAAGAACCATATGATATGACCTATATGAACATGTAAGAAGGTATATGAATTATACGTGCTACATGTTCTAGATGATTTCATAAGAAATGACATGAGCTATGTGATACAAAGATATGTGCTATGAAAGTATGAATATGTAAAATGATATAAGTATTAATGCCCATGTTATGTGTCATGAGAGCTAGAGGTATAGTTGGCATGCCAAGAGTCGAGGGTTACCTATGTCTTCGGGGCATATGGATAGTGGTCCTTCGGGATATAGTGGCCCTTCGGGATAAGTGAAGTGCCCCTAGTGGGAATTTATACGAGCTGTGGTGACAGCATATGTGCACAACCTCAGTGTACTCACGTACCTCATATTCTCACATATGTACATGGGCTAATAAAGATATAATAGAAATAAACTTGATATGATTGTTATGTAATTGTGTACTTGGATATGAGTGTATTGGTTGCATGTATTGCATATGTTATATTATCTGTGTTAGAAATTATGTTTGTTTGATATATTGGAATATAAGATAAAATATAATGAACTTATATGATATGTTACAAGTAATTACACAATAAATGTTGTGAACTCCATAAGTATATGTATATGTATATATAATCAGGTAGTGGACTATAGGATATATGAATAGAATAATTATATCGTACTGTGAGAATATACTTTGTGGGTGAACTAGTATAATGGAATTTTATTATTAAATGAGAATAAAGATAAAATAAATAGTATATCAAATAGGAAAAATTACAGAAATAAGTATAAGAATGGATGAAATAAGTAGTATATAAAGGTCTATATGTTTCAATGAAATTGTGATATAAAAAACTTGTTAAATTCTTAGTTAATATGAAATATAGTACAAGGATCTAGGAAATGAAGTTATATGAGAACATCATAGGAATCAGATCATGATAAATTATGAAAATATATGTTTATGTGACAAATTATATGAAAATTAAACTAATATAATATAAGGAATTAGTATACCAGAATATGATATAGAATATGTAACAATAATCTATGGGTTATATGATAAATAGGAGTATATGGAAATAAGAGATAAGATATGTGACTCTGGAATAGAAATTATATGATTAAGAGTTATATAAAAGAAATGGTTTAGATGATAACAGGAGAGTGTGATATAAGCTGAGTGGGGTATATATAAATGATTATATGAATCTGAAATAGTATACAATTCTATATGACATGATGGTATAAGCATATGTATATATATTGATTACATGAAAGTGTACAAGAGGATGTATGATATGATGGTATAAATAATGCATTCATTGTTAGGAATTATAGTTTACCTTATATATTTTATATGCCTCACTAAGTCATAGACTTAGCATGTGAGTGTTTCACACGTAGGTTCCGGAAAGCGAGAAGAGAAGCGAAGAGGAGCAAGACATGTCAGATTCTCCTTTCCACATATCAGATCAGAATTGTAGTTGAGTAGATGTATTTTGTTATATAGAGTGTAGTTGGCATGTAGTCTAAAGATTTAAATTGTATAAGCTCTGATATGTTTTACAAAACCAATTGATTTTAAATAAATGAAAAGTAATCATTTTCTTGAATTGTGAATATAACTTTTAGTCATTTTGTAAAGAAAAATGTTTGAAAAGTCAATGTGACACATCGGACTCGGATCCGGGTTGGATACGGGTTGGGGGTGTTACAACTTTGGTGGGTGAGTCTCCCAACAAAAATTTTCTGCATATAAAAGTACTTGAACTCGAGACATATTTAAACAATATAAAGTTGCTTACCACTTAAATCAATCAAGTTGATGTTTTCAATCCAGTTGATGTTTAACTTTTAGTTTTAATTAGGATGTACTTGTGATTTGAGAGGAGTGAAAGATTTTTCAGATAATTTTAACCAAACGAAAGCAAAAGAAGAGTAGTAGTTTTGTGATATTTTCAACTGAATATATTATCGAATGACAACAAAAACAAAAAATTAAAAGAGACAATGATGCAATAGAAGCTAATTAAAACTTTTTAATTTATCATTATTAGTCGTTAATCAAATCAAAATTGAATTATTAATCTTCCAACCAAATGAAACCTTCCTTCCTATAACTAGGATTGATTGATGATCAAAATCTTTATTGAGAACTGAACTTTTGTAATAATTGTCA